AATGTCCAGAAACCGCAAAACTAGTCCATGAATCAGATAAGCCAGGAGCAGAGATGGGCAAATGTGGAGTTCTCAAGATGCTGGGAAAGATCCAGGGAACTTTTTAAACATCGTATTCTTGATGTTTTACTCATGGTGTGTCTCTCCAGATGAACTGTCAGAGAAGCTTTCTATTCCCGTCAAAGTGGCAAGTAATTTATCATGGAAAGCAAACAACTGCAGAAGGGCAGTTCGGTTCTACTGCAAAGAAAAAAATGCAAGAAAGACCGGGTGACAGGCTTAATCTTAAACTAGGACACCACTTCTTGAGGGGTCACTTTCTGCCTCTGGGACTCTGTTACTGATGTCACGATATGTGCATGTGAAATGCTTTTGAATGTCATAAAGTACTCTAAAAACGTTAAACATTCTTCTCATGTAAGGTTAAGAGGTCCTTGCTAGTTTTCAGCCTGTGTCAGAGCATTAGGCCGGTGTGGCCGTCTTAAGAAAGTTTGTTTCACAGCTACCTCCCTTAATATGGTAATCTGAATTTAGTATGTTGCTATGAATAAGTTTTAGGTGACCAGCTGTGTTGGTCTGCTGTAGAAGAGCAGGAGCCACCTTAAAGATCAATAAGAGCGCTTCTAGGGTATCCGACGAAGGAAGCTTTGACTCATGAAAGCTTTCACCCTGGAGATATGGTTGGTCTTCCAAGGTGCCGCTGAACTTTAATCTTGCTCTGAATTAGGCATTAGCCACTAGAATCACTTTTTTAATGGACTGAGTCTCATAACTCCCTGATGTGTCTTTTTGTGTATCGAAAGCCTTTTTAAAGACTTTCAGTTGACAGCAGTGTTCCCTCTAAGCTGAGTTAGTGTGAGCTAGCTCACCGTTTTTTAGCCTCCAGCTCACACATTTTTGTCTTAGCTCAGGAAAGATGGCTCCAGAGCAAACTAATTTTATGCAGCAGCCAAGCAACTTTAATGCCAGTTGCTCACAAAGTAGAATTTCTGCTCACAGGACTCCACAGCTTAGAGGGAACATTGGTTGACAGTACCCACTGTTATTGTTTGGCAGGTTCTAACACAGCATGATTCAGGGTAACAAATGTGTGGAATTTTTGTCAGTAATAAGAGTAGATGGTTTTGGACTCCAGCATAATAAAAGCAACTAGATATAAATGTTTGTGAGGGAACCGTTTCACAGAAGGATATTTAAACCCACTTTTTCATAAGAGGTAGTGCTAGGCATGTGGGAAGGACTAAACTGTTAGATTTTACTGTAATTAGAACAAGAATAGGGGCTGGGAGGAAATCAAAGGGGCACCTGCCTATCACAGGGAATAAGTCAATGACAACTGGAGAAGTTCTGCCAAGTCCTTCAAAAGTCACATATTTTTTTAGGAGGCAAAGGTGGTCGTAACCTATCTTGGCCAACATTCCAAGCACTCTAAAAACGGAAACATTACACCAAATGGAGGAAACCAAGAATACTCAGCATCTGGGTTTGTGGGTTTCTGATATTCTTTAGGCTGGAAGAGGCAAAGGGGATGTCTGTGCAGAGTGACACACTAAGAAAGATGCACAGCCGGAAATATGAAACGGGGAGATAGTGCAACATTCTTCCTGCCACCTTTTGGACTTACAAATGCCAACAGGCTGAGGTGACATCTGGCAATGTCAAACAACAGTTGTTCTTCCTCTGTACTGGCAGCAAAGTGAGGCATCATTGACTAAAACCCCAAAGGCCACACCAGCGAACGTTCTGCCATCTGCGTATCTTATCAGTGTGCTTATTGGCTTAATTGTGCTATTCAGGGGAAGGGGCACAACTATGCAGGGCACTGTAGCCCCACTTAACTGATCAAGGAAATGCCACCCAGAGACGTCCCCTTCCTTGGCCTTCTGAGATTTTACAACACATGTGAGTCAGTGTAAAACCTGAGATTCTCAGGAGACTGAATTTTGTACCCACTATGAGTTGCTGCACTTGCACTCTGTATCGTGGAATATATGCAAGATCATGGCTGGGTCCAGGAGGTGGCCAAGGTCAGGCATCTTCCAGGGCTTCTAGGCTGGCAAAGGATCCACCACCCCAGTTATACCACCATTCTCACTTTGCATGGAGCACCGAAGACCAGAGCAATATAACACTAGATCACGCGCCCTCATTACCTGGTTTAGGGACTGTTGTGCTCCAACGGTGTGGATAATCTTGTGGAAGACACATAACATAGCAAGGACTGCTGAACTGCATAAGATCAAAGGACAATGAACAGTTCTCCATTTGTTCTGCCCTATTCCAACTGCTGTCCTTTCTTACAAGCCTATCCAAATGTTTAAAGAAAGGCAGCGGGACACTTAATATTCGCAGGGGAGGGGAGATTTCCAGTGGGCCAAAATGGGCTGCTTGTGTTTGGACTTATATACCAATCAGGTGTAAGAACACAGGGAGGAGCCGTGCACCACAGGCTCTGCATTAGTTGGCTAACTTGCCACAATACGATATAGATGCTGAAGGGCAAGGCGTTGGCCACATGGGAACTTGGGGGCTGTTAATGGTTAACACTACATAATGCTTTCAAGCATTCAACATTACTTTGTGCAAATCTTATAACAGTCCATTAACTATTATCTATATGTTGCAGATGGGGTAGTGGTGGAGGCTGACAGTGGCTTGCTTAGTAAGTTCCTGGCACAGGCAAACTTCCAGTCGAGTACTTCCCTGTTCATAGCTCAGCTCCTAAGCCATTATGGGGCACCAAAAGCCAGTGTGGTCTAGCAGTCAGTGGACTGGACTAGGACTGCAGATCCTGTCAATCAAGAAGGTCGCTCTTGGCCTAACCTAACTTACATGGTTGTTGTAAGGATAAAATGGAGACAGAACCTTGTATTCTGAGCTGAGCATTTTCCAGGAATGCAGTGCATACACAGAGACACTATTCTTTAGGGTTGTTGAAGGTGGTAAAACGGCCTCCACTGCTGTCGGTAGAAGATCATGGAGGTTCACATTTTGGAATATTCCCTATGTTAAAAACTCCCTGCAAACAGACCCCCCCCCCCCCAGCACAATAAACAACTAGAGTGGGTAGAAGCTTTCTCCTTGCTCTGCTGGTTTTCTGTTCCAGTGATGCTATTTAGGCAGAGAAGTATTTAGCCATGGAATCCATCACTTGCAGTCGGAAGTCGCCTTATCCTGAGTCATCTCACTTGTCTATCAAGGTCAGTACTGCCTACTCTAACTTCCAGCAGCTGTTCAGTATCCTGGGTAGAGGTCTTTTACTTCACTTACTACCTGATCATTTTAACTGGGGATGCCAAGGATCCAACCTGGGACCTTCTGCTTGCAAAGCAGATGCTCTACCACTGCTCTTCCCTGTGATGCAGCCCGTTTAACCACTTCAACGATCTAACACCTCATTCTCCCACAGGTGTAAATCAGGCCTGAGTGATACCTGTTTGAAGCAGTGTCAATGGTGTTGGGGGGCAGGAAGTGGAATGTTATAAGGCGTACTTGGGAGACCAAACCATGCAGCGCAAAGGAAAAATGGCAGGACAGAAAGAGACAGAACTGCTACCTGACACTAAGATCCAGTCTATCAGACCAGTAGTGTTTCCATGGTTCCAAATGGAGGTTCCCCCCCCCCCCCTGTGTTCCCCGAGATTCCTTTTTAGCCAGCAGTTTTATGAAGGCAGAGCATGTGGTTTACCACTGAGTTATATCTTGGGGTGTCTAGCCAACGGAAGTCAACCTTAGCAGGGCTCTGGTGGTGTTCTTTGACCGATGAGCAAGTTGTTTTTCTAGACAACTGAACAGCCTGCCCAGTTATTTTTGCAAAATATTTATTTAAAAAACTAGAGTAAATATGGCAACAACAAGGAAAAAAAAGCTTAAATAGCAAAAAGGACAAGACACAGGCTGGTAACGTGTTATTTTAGCCAGTCTTTACAATGTCGATGTCAAGTATGTCTTCCCAAAGGGCAGCCACATGTAAACAACCGGAACATATTTATAGATGGGGTCTACTTTTAACAGCTCAAAAACATCTCAGGGCTTTTTTTTTTTTTGCAACCCAGACCAAAGCAGCTCTCACAAAAGCACTGAGCCTCTTCAGCTCTTGCTGAAATGGATGGATGACAAAGAGGGTCAAACATTTTGCAGGCCAATGAGACTGTTTTCTTGTAACAGGGCAAACCTATTTAAAATAAATAAATAACCAAGAGAAGCACAGCAACGAGGGCAAAGTGCCTTCTGTTCCCGTTTCACTGTCTTAACCAGTAAAGCAGATCTTTCCCAATTCCACCCTGCAATTCTTGTTTATGAGGCCAGTATGGAGAATGTCCACATTTTCCACCTCAGAGGCAGCTGTGACTGTAGCAGAACAAGCTAGTAGAATCCTAAAGTGATGGTGTTCCACTGCAGGCGGAGGACTGCATTTTTTAATGCTCCCCCACCATTACAAATTTTTCTGTACGCAGAAAAATAACAGCAGGGATGGGGCGCTCTCCTTTTGGTGCTAGGGTGTCAGCCCTGACCTGAACAGCTCAGGCTAGCCCAATCCCATCAGATCTCGGAAGCTAAGCATTGTCGGCCCTGGATAGTATCTGGAAGGGCAACCTCCAAGGAATACCAGGGGCGTGACACAGAGGCAGGCAATGGCAAACCACCACTGAAACGTCTCTTAAAAACAAAGTCTAGCTCGCCACCTAGTGGTGCATACTAAAAGAGCTAGAACCTCTGTCTGTCGAACAATCTTAGGATCTCCTGGCTCTACTACACACACTGCCATGCGATAATAATGATAATAATTAATTATTACTAGGGAGTCAGCATACAAGGAGTTGTGGCAGGAGAATTCCAAAACTGTATGGACCATTTTAGCTTCAAGATTCTCACCACCTCATCCTGCACAGCCATAAGCTGCCTTTTTTTTTGGCTGTATGTTAAACAAAACTTCCATCTCTTAAAAAACACAGCCAATGTGTTTAACAAATAAACTCCTACTTTCCCCCCCCGGTTAACAGGATAAACTTGCCTTCCATCAGTTTACTGCCCTGTGATCTGTGCGTTAACAAAGAACCCAAGGGGGTGGGGCGCGGGGAGGAGTTACAAAATGGTAGGCTAAGGAAGAACCCTACTACTTACGAAGACATAGTTGAATACATTTTAAAAACCATGAATGAAAAAAACACTATGTCCAGACAACCACATCCGTCTCACTAATTACACAAGAGGCATCACGGACAGCATGTAGAAATAGTGACGTTGATCCCAAGGTTTCCATTGTCTGCAAAAAGGTGAGCTATGGCAGTGTCGAAAACAAGACAGTCGCTGTTCATGATGGCCGCCGCCACACCGTCATGGATGGACCGTGGCGTGGCCTCCCAGGTCAGCCTCCGCCGGTTGCCATTCAGTTCGAGTCTGTAGGCAAAGTTCTCCGCTTGCTTGCGCGTGCCGATCAGCAGGACGATGGCAAAGAACTGCTGGTGGCCCTCATACTTCTCCTGCTTCTCCAGCACAAGCATGAAGTGGTGCCCAAAGCAAGACTGCATCATCACCCAGTCGACGGCCCCCGGCAGGTTAATGTCTGTGGCGAGGAAGACAATGTCTTCTCCTTGCAGGGTGGTGATGCTCTTGTGGGCGTGCATGAGGTGAGACATGACCGCTTCTAACGAGCCCTGCCATTTGCAAGAGGCACCAGGACATGGACAGGAGTACGGGCGGTATTCACAAATGTCTTCGTGCTCTGGCTTTTCCGTGTGATGGAGTGTCAGCGAACAGCCCGTGGTGGCATACTGCAAGGAAAGAAAACAGAGCAAGGTTGTTAAGGCGAGGGTTTCTTTAGAAGTTGGTTTTAAGTTTTGTCTGGTCTTCAAAACAGTCATGTCTCAGGTCTGACAAATCCTGCAGGAAGGATACATGTTCTCATGAATAGATACGGGGTATCATTTTATGTAAATATAGATCTGTCCACGTTGACACGTAAATACTTATCACCTTGTTTGGTCTGGGTTTTGGTACTAAGATTATCATGCCTTTTAAGATGTGCCTCTTGAGCTTCTTTGGGAGCTAAGCATTGGAAAAACAGGCTATAAATATGATCAATAAATGTTAGAGCAGCAGATTACAAGCTGCTTTCCCCCCACAGATTACTTTCAAAAACTCAGATTGTACAGGTTGGCCACTAACATGATCTATTATGGCATAATCACTGTCAGGCCAGGATTAATGATTGGGTGGGATGGGCCACGCCTTTAAATCAGGGGTTCTCCACTTTTTCTTAGACTGTGGACACTTTTGGGCGTTTGAGAAACTGTAGTGGGCACCACCAGTCAGTCAAATATTGTATATAGCCATCGGCCATTACAAGTTGCGAAGCCACAAAATACAGTGATAAATAAAACCATAAAACTAGAATATAAAAAGTTGTGATGAAAGCAGATTAAAACTTAACAGACTACAATTTCCAGAAACCGCCCTCAACAATACCCTCTCATACCTTAACTTCTTTGTTGCAAAGGCAAACAGAGAGACAAACTGGCTGTGCCATGTGGGACAGCAGGACCCCTAACAAAATAGTTGCCATTGGGACTACGTTGGAGACTACTGCTTTAAATGTAACAATCAGAAAAGCAGCCATTACACTGCTATGGTCAACAGGATGCCATTGTGATGGCTGGGTGGGGTTTGAGAGGCCTGTACAGACCCATCCTCTCCCCCCTGCAGTTACCCCACAACTCAAGACTGTATAAAGAGGACTTTCACTAACTTTGATCATGGAGACCTTTTACTTACTGCCCTAAACTGCTCTCTTCCCTCCCTCTGGCTGTGAGAATATAATTGCCTCCCATTCCATCCTTCTCAGTAGATCCTGATTGCCAATCATCTGGCTTTAAATTGAGCAATTACATTTAAATGCCACGTTCTTGGTACTGGTGCCATCTTTGAGAAGGAAGGAGGGAGGGTGGGAAGGAGGGAACTCTGTGGTTCTGCTCTCTTTTATCATCACAACAACCCTGTAAAGTAGGTTAGGCTAACAGACTGACTGGCTCAGGGCCACCCAGTTAGCTTCATGAAAGAGTGGGGATTTGAACCTCTCCCAAGTTCTCATTTAACATGCTAAGCGGTGTAGTGCCCAATTCAAGCAGTAGCATTTCAAAATATAAGTCAAATATTAAAAAAAATTAAATATTAATGATGTTACCACTAGAAATCCCTTGACTATTCAGATCTTTCTGGAATGAAAAGGCCTTGCATTCCTTCCATAATTTTTATGGCCGCAAAATTAACCGTAACAGCTTGAACAGCAGTTTGTACAACATTATTACCTGTTTTAATCAAGAACTAAGTAGCAGTGCAATGTGGCACTGCTCCAGTATATTGGTTAAAGCTGCAATTCTGAATACACTCACCGACACATCAGTCACACTGAACTTTTGAGTAAACAGGGTTGTGCTAGGTTGGTGTGAGCTGTGCACAAGACAGAGGCTGCAGTCAGGAAGGGCAAAGAAGTTGGAAACTGGCCTGCGAAATCCTGGTCTGAATGACCTCCCTCTCAGGGCCCCAAGATGAAAGCCTTGTTGGTTTGAACTGGCTAACCCAAATTTGTTGCAGCACTTGCAGTGGGTGCTTTAATAAACTGTCGTTTGTTTTTCACCTGCGCACCAGGATTCTAGAGATCCTGGTTTAGAATCCCCGGCATGTAGGCAAGAAACAAACTGCAATTTAATAAAGTGCTCAATTAAGACATCACGGCACTTAAAAAAAAAAAGTCTCAACCAAGCACTGTTTGATCTGAGCACAGCACGTACTAGGCAAAAGAAGCATTGTGAAGTGCATTGTACTCAGAACACTGGTGCAAGGCTCTTCATTGTCATGGCCATTTTGTTGTTGTTCAGTCACACAGTCGAGTCCGATTCTTTGCGACCCCATGGACAAGATCACGCCAGGCCCTCCTGTTTTCCGCCGTCCTCCGAAGCCCGCTCAATTTCATGTTCGTTACATCCATGACACTGTCCAACCATCTCATCCTTTGCCGTCCCCGTCTTCTTTGACGTTCAATCTTTTCCAGCATCAGGGTCTTCTCCAGTGAGTGCTCCCTTCTCATTTGGTGGCCAAAGTATTTGAGCTTCAGTTTCATTATCTGGCCTTCCAGGGAACAGTCAGGGTTGATTTCTTTTAGGATGGACTGATTTGATCTTCTTGCAGTCCAAGGGACTCTCAAGAGTCTTCTCCGTGCAGCACCATAGTTCAAAAGAATCTATTCTTCGGCGCTCGGCCTTCCTTATAGTCCAACTCTCGCAGCCATACATGACTACTGGGAATACCATTGCTTTGACCATGCGGACTTTTGTTGGCAGGGTGATGTCTCTACTTTTTATCATGCTGTTTAGGTTCGCCATCGCTTTCCTCCCAAGGAGCAGGCGTCTTTTAATTTCATGGCTGCAGTCACAGTCTGCGGTGATCTGGGATCCCAGGAACGTGAAGTCTGTCACTACTTCCACAGCTTCCCCTTCTATTTGCCAAGGAGTGATGGGGCCGGATGCCATGATCTTAGTTTTTTTGATGTTGAGCTTCAAGCCCACTTTTGCGCTCTCCTCTTTTACTCTGAGCAAGAGGCTCTTTAGGTCCTCTTCACTTTCTGCCATTAGAGTGGTATCGTCTGCATATCTGAGGTTGTTGATCTTTTCCCCAGCAATCTTAATTCCCGCTTGTGATTCATCCAGGCCAGCATTTCGCATGATGTACTCTGCATATATATTAAATAAGCAAGGCGACAATATACATCCTTGTCGTACTCCTTTTCCTATGCTGAACCAATCAGTTGTTCCATATCCGGTTCTAACTGTTGCTTCTTGGCCCTTATACAGGTTTCTCAAGAGACATGTGAGGTGGTCTGGTACTCCCATCTCTTTAAGGACCTGCCATAGTTTGTTGTGATCCACACAGTCAAAGGCTTTAGCATAGTCAATGAAGCAGAAGTAGATATTTTTCTGGTACTCTCTTGCTTTTTCCATAATCCAGCGAATGTTGGCAATATGATCTCTCGTTCCTCTACCTCTTCGAAACCCAGCTTGTACTTCTGGTAGTTCTCTATCCACGTACTGTTGAAGCCTAGCTTGTAGGATCTTGAGCATGACCTTGCTAGCGTGTGATATGAGTGCAATTGTGCGATAGTTTGAACATTCCTTGGCATTGCCCTTCTTTGGGATCGGAATGTATACTGAACTTTTCCAATCCTGTGGCCACTGTTGCGTTTTCCAAATTTTACATGGCCATTTTACAGACAGAGAAACGAACGCACAGCAGAAATCTGAATCTAGCACTCCGGTGCTCAGATCTAACGTCACCCACTCAACAGCACTGTCTCTGAGTCAAACTCAGTGGGACACTGGGTTGCTGACCACCCCCCACCCAGCAACATGTAGATACACTTGACTCACGGTGTTGTATGTTTTCCAGCCCCCCTTGCTGGTGAAACCGAGATGACTGCATGGCAAATGAACTGTGTGCCTTTCTTTTGAGAAAAAAGAGTCACAGGCAGCTAATTTGGTTTATTAAAAATGGTAAAAGATCCCCCTTGTGCGTTATGTTAAAAGCATTTTAAAGTCATTTCTCATGTTGATAAAACTAGTGTTGTAGACCTTGAATTCAGAATCTAAATGTTTACTTACATTGAGCTCAATATTAAATCTGGGCTCTGCAGACACCCTTAACATGCACAAAGGGATTCAGGAAGTTTCTTAGCCTTTAAATACTTAACTGGAAACGGATGGCTACACAGAAAGTCTTTTAGCAAGGAAGCTTTTAAATCGGCATGTGATTTCTGAGTGGCTGGTGGCTGCTGTGTGCCAAACCTTGTGAACATTCTCACTAGCTGTTAAAAATTAATTAGGTTTGCAGGACTTGCGTGAAGTTCATGGCAGTCGCTGAATTGCTCAGAGAGCATAATCCCGGCGGTGGCTGCAGCTTGAGAAATGGGATGCGTCTGCCACTGGGACTGCGCTTTAAATGTTTGTAATAAAGCAAATGAAGTTTTTAAAACTGCTGCTTAGTTACTTTGAATTACAAAACTCTTCAAGTTTCAAATAATTGCACATCAACCAATATTGCTCCCGTATCAGCGGGGAGTCTTGATTTCCAAACTAAATTGTAACATTAGAGAGTGGGATGCGCGTTGTGAGCTACGTAAGGCTGCCATCAAAACCGACCTCCTTCTGTTGCTTCCTTCCGTCTCTGTAAAATGCATTTCTTCCCTCAAATTGTCACATCATCCCAGTGTATGTTCCCTACCCTCTGTTCTTCATTGGCACATATGCAAGAATAACCATTTGTTCAGGGCCCAGTTCCCTTGTGCAAACACCAAGGAAGAGACTAGTCTCTTGGCCCATCGATGGGAATAATATTACTGGGCCTGCCTTACTGGGTTGTTGTAAACATTACAGAGACCATCCACACAATGAGCACTTGAAATATGTTAAACTAGGGAGCAAAGCCCATTGTGGATGAAGACAACGGACCCTGGAAAGGTAGGAAGGGTGGGTGAAAGGAAGGAAGGAAAGAAAGAAGGGGTGAGAAAGAGAGAGAGAGAGAAAGGAAGGAAGGTAGAAAGGAAGGAAGAAGGGAGGGGGGAGAGAGAGACAGACAGACAGGCAGAGATGGAGGGAGGATGAAAGGGGGGAGAAGACGTCAAAGAGATGGGGAGGAAGGGAGAAAGAGCGAGGGAGGGAAAGAATGAAGGGAGATAGGGAGAACGGGAGGAAGAGAGAGTGAGGGATAGAAGGCGAAGGAAGGA